CTTTTTACACCTCCCTTTCTTCATGCGTTCAATACTTTTTCCCTGTGCCATTCCACATTATTACAAATAACTCCATTTCTGGACATTTATGTTTGATTTCTTTGTACGTATGGATCACTTGGGTTGTTACCGACATCTGGTGGAAATTTCATGTCATTAGCACCTCTAGTAATATATTTACTGAGAAAAATGGCGACGTGTTCAATACTTATTTTACCCGCTGAATATTCGAATAAGCTGAAAAGAATTGCCTTCCTGTCACACAGGATAAAATAATCATCTATGATGTTGGGCAATAACACCCAATGTACCAACCCACAAACTGCARCACGAGGAGCTAAAACTGACTAAGGAAAGAAATAAAATAGAGTTGTTTTCTGAAGAAAAAAAAGATTGTGAGATTAATATTAGGTAATTACACCTTTGATGGATTCTGGCACAGTAAAAGGTAAAAAAGAAAAACAGAAATACCTAAAATGAAGCCAAATTACTAGCAGAAGCCCTCAAATCAAGACGCTGACATCTTGAAAGTTTCAAACCAACTCCTGCTCCTCAGCTTTCTGTACGCCTGCAGTCAGAATCATTTTTAGTCTGCCAACGTGACTGCAGCTCAGCGGCGACCAATCAGAACTGAAACAGCTCTTTTGTCTGGTCGCCTGTGAAGGGCTCTCTGCCCAAGCCTCATCATGCAGCTAATTCAGATGTAACCCCACTTTAAACCACACACACAATGGCTATTGAAATGAGCTAGGTGCTGATATGGCTGTCAAGTGTTGGAGTCTGGATGAAACGAACACACATAAACATACACCTTTCTGCCACATTAAGCGAGGGAAATAAATAAACACAGAAAACTAGATGCAGAAAAACAATCATTTCTTCTGGGTTTGTGGCTGCATGACCCAGAGCACCTGTTCTCCCATGTTTGTTATGTTCAGTCTTTTTCTGAACGGGTGTTCTCAACTGTAATTTCATTGTGCTCTGTACRATGACAAAAAAGGCCTAATCTAATCCTAATCTAATCTAATTCTGTCACATCTGTCAGTTTATACTTTGGTTTTGGCTTTCTTCTTTTATAAACAGACCTTCAGCTGGGTTAGTGAAGCAATTTAAAGATTAAAATCTCAGAATGACATATTGGTTTTGTCATACTCTACAAAAATGACAAAAACCCCTCTGATACGTCCCTACTGAGAAATACAGTTTTCTCTTTCTCTTCCAGTTTTAGCGTTTCAGCTTCTTAATGCATTAATGATTTGTTTAGTATCAGTGTAATGTTATTTGTGGAATTAAAGAAAAATATAATGATTTGATTTTTTGATCCACATTACATAAAAACACAACAAAGACACTTGGAAATAGAACCGCAGCATGTTCACCTGTCTGCTTCCCTGCTGCTGACTTTGTCTCCATCTGTCTCTCCTCCTCTGCCTCCGTCTAAGACTTCTAATCCTGCTCCTCTCCTGTTTCGTCCTCCTCTCCACGACGGGGACACAAGGCAGCACCTCCGCTGAGGTCAAGGACTGACCCGTCACTTCTACCAGCCCGCTGCCTTCCTCCTCATCACCCTCAGCATTGTCCTCCTCCCCGTCCCCCTCATCTTCCCACTCTGAGACGAGGGTCTGACTTCGATTGTTTTGTGATGATTGTCCGGATGCTGCCCCCGTCCTGACCTCCACCCAGAATGGATCTGGGTTTCTGGATGAGTTAAGTGAATGGTGGTTTGAGTCGCCTGTCACTGGCCTCGAGGAAACCCACTGTGTTGAGAGAGCTAGCTGAGTGGGCTGGGAGTTTAAATGGGAGGTTATAGTCTGGATGAAGCCAAAGCCCTGGGGTCTGGGACACATGTGTTGTCTCTGTGAGTCTTTTGATAGTTCTTGAACTTCTAAAATGCTGGGTTGATGGATGTCAGAAACAAATAAAAGGCCACTGCCTCCTTCCTGTGACTCAGCTGTTTCTGTCTTCTTCTGTTTTCCTCTTTCCTTGCTGCCAGAATGTTCAGGTCTGGGCCTCTCTTCATCACTTTCTGGGTTTCCTTCCCTCCACCTTCCTCTGTTGTCCTCGGAGCAGGTCTGTCTCAGAGCTTTTCTTCTGAGCAGGGCAGGTCTCACCAGCCTTCTCTCTCCTGCCACATCCTCGCTCCTCAACAGAGGTCTCACCGCCTTCGTGCATAGACGATTAGTCTCATCGCTCCAGTCTCCTTCAGCGGCGTTCTCGTTCCCACCACCTTCGGTTCTGCTTGAGCCGCTTACAGCCGATGCTCCCACATGGGATCTCATGATGGTGCTTTAAAGCCTCAAGCAGACCTCATTTGATGCAACTTTAACCAGCTAAACTGGTCTTACCCCTCCCGACCATCCCGCAGTCTTCTTTCAGAGTCCCACTTCTTCTGGATGTGCAAACTCAAACTGTTTTTAAGAGTCGGATGGAGCGTTCCAGTTCCCAGGAGATGAGAAGAGCAGCTCTTTGGTCTGACCTGTCCTGCCCCTCTCTGAGCCCCCTGGGGCCTTCCACTCTGTTAACAAAAACAAAATCCCCCCCATGATGAGCCCCTTTACAATAGGTGCTCGGTTCATGTGGTCTCACTATTGTGTAGTGATAGAAAACTCAACCCTGAATTCACAAAAAATGAGATGAAAAAGCCAGAAACACGTTTTCTGCACAATGTCCAATACCACCGTGTCAGCTTTTTCTCTATGAACCAAAATAAATAAACAATGTAACCAATATAGAATTTATCAGATATAACTGAAATGTGTGATTTTAGTTTTGGTACACTGCCTCTTTGTGTGCTTAAATTTTAAGAAAATGTATTTTTTTTCAGTGGCTTTTTACCACTTGATCATCAACTGCATAAATTTTCAAAAAAAAAAAAACAATAGAAAAAAAATAATACATTTCAAAAAAGCTTTTAACGTTTGTTCTCTACCCTTACATAAACTTTTTTTTCTCATTTCTTATCTTTTCCACCTGAACGAAAAATAAAACCTTCATTTGTTGCAATACACCCTGTGGACAGCAGATGGCAGCAGTAATCCTTCTTGACCTGCAGAGGAGCTGCCCCTGGTCCTGAATCACATCTCGTTCTGTGCGCTCTGGCTGTTCAAACCACTACAAACACACATCAGCTCCTGTCAACACTCTAAAGGCTTTCCGATTATCTAAATTAGACACGTTTAATCTATCTTTTTTTAAATCAACAAGCTAAATAGTAAATAGAGAAAAAATGTTCACTGTGAACTTTTCCCAACACCAAGTTGCATTGCTAATAATAATAATAATAATAATAATAATAATAATAATAATAATAATAATAATAATAATAATAATAATAATAATAATAACAATAAAGGGTCCGAATTGTCAAATAAAGAAGAGCGAAAGGAAATAATCCCCCCTCTTCGGCTGCTTGCAGTGAAAAGCGGAGCAACACGGAGCGCGCCAGCACAAAACTCCAGGGTGACCCCCCTCCCGGTCTGACGTACCCAAAGCTGTTGGTATAAATGAATTCACGGCATCACCGAGCTCAGATGTTTCGCAGTGCAAATGAGCCCACCGGTGTCCACACTCATGGGCTGCTACACACACACACATGGGCGCGGGCGCACACACACACATGCGCAGCCTTTAGCGTGCACGCTCGCAAACACTGCGTCATGCGTCCTGAGAGCGACAACACGAACGCGGTAACCACGATGGACACCTAAAACGCACCGGCGGCGGCAGTCTGAGCGGCTGGCTGACTTTCTGCTCACTTTATCCCCCACCCCCCACGCTGCTTCAGGAAAGTTTCACTGACAGTGTGCGGCGGCATTATGGATTTTATAACAAGGAGCAATGACAGCAACGCGACCAGCGGTTACCCTGAAGGGATGGACGTGGTCGCCGACTGGATCGGGGGTGAGAATTTGACGGCGTCTGGGTTCCTGCCAGATCTGGTGCTGGCTTACCAGATCATCACCTCTCTGCTCCTGGGGGCCCTCATCCTCTGCTCCATATTTGGCAATGCGTGCGTCGTGGCAGCCATCGCCCTGGAGAGATCTCTCCAGAATGTCGCCAACTACCTGATCGGATCCCTGGCCGTGACAGACTTGATGGTATCGGTGCTGGTGCTGCCCATGGCGGCGCTCTACCAGGTTTTAAACAAATGGACTCTGGGGCAGGGGATCTGTGACTTGTTCATCTCTTTGGATGTACTGTGTTGTACATCATCCATCCTGCATCTGTGCGCAATTGCCTTGGACAGGTACTGGGCAATAACTGACCCCATTGACTATGTAAATAAACGGACACCAAAGCGAGCTGCGCTCTTGATTTCCGCAACTTGGCTCATTGGTTTCTCCATCTCCATCCCGCCTATGTTAGGGTGGAGAAGCGCAGAGGACAGGGCGAATCCGGACGCGTGCATGATCAGCCAGGACCCGGGCTACACGATCTACTCCACGTTTGGAGCGTTTTACATCCCGCTCATCCTGATGCTGGTGCTGTACGGGCGGATATTCAAGGCCGCTCGGTTTCGGATTCGCAAGACGGTGAAGAAAACCGAGAAGGCAAAAGTTTCGGACAAGTGCTTGACCATATCGCCCGCCATCTTCCACAAGAAACGGAACGGGGAGCTCGGCGGAAAGGGCTGGAAGCGCTGCGACGAGTCCAAAACCAGCTCCCCGTGCGTAAACGGCGCGGTGAAGCACGGAGACGAGGGCGAGTCGCTGGAGATCATAGAAGTTCTCAGCAACTCCAAGACGCACCTGCCCTTGCCCAACACCCCGCAGTCGTCCTCGCAGGGCTACGAGAGCATGAACGAGAGGAACTCGGGAGCAAAAAGGAAGCTCGCGCTGTCCCGCGAGCGCAAAACGGTGAAAACGCTCGGTATCATCATGGGCACGTTCATCGTCTGCTGGCTGCCGTTTTTCATCGTGGCGCTGGTGTTGCCTTTCTGCGCAGACAGCTGCTACATGCCCGACTGGCTGGGCGCCGTTATAAACTGGCTGGGCTACTCCAACTCCCTCCTGAACCCCATCATATATGCCTACTTCAACAAAGACTTCCAAAGTGCTTTCAAGAAGATCATAAAGTGCAAATTCCACAGAGCATAATCTCATAATAAATACTTACAAACGTGGTGCAGGTWAAMAACAACAACAAATCAAATAAAAAAGGGGACAATGGTCACAAAAGCTGTACAGAGCAGGAAAAAAACCTCACAGACTTTCATTCAGGGACAGATTATTTTAGGTGTGTGAGATTATTGTGTAAAAAATAATCATAATAAAACAAAAAAGGGCAGAAATCTTTGTTCCTAATGTACAAGCTCATGTTTCTTCCGTGTTGTAGTGACACATGCGACACACACACACACAAACAACCATAGTTGTATTGCCACGCCAGACGTGTCCTGTGCTGATTCCATGCATTTCTATCATGAGGCACGCGGGGTGTCCATCCCACGCCACGAGCTTTGTAGCACTGAAACAATAAAAAGCAATCAGCGTGTCATTAAGAACTCTGGAGTGGAGTTTTTGTTCACGAAAGGAGGAGATGGAGTCGAGGAAAACAGCAGGCCTAAAATTAAGCTGTCTCATGTCTTCATAGAGGTCAGGTCATCAGGACTGAGTGGGATTTTTTATGCTTTTTTTTTAGCCAACACAGCAGGAAAAGTGCATTATTTGCTCTGCCAGGTGTCTCATATGCAGCATAGGTTGAATCTCAGGTTATTCTTGTAGAATAATGTAGAATAAAACCAATTGAAAGCTTATTTGGTTTTCTTATAAATCTCACTTTTCACTTCTTATTCAGATTTCCAGGTGACATGAAGGCAAAAACAATTCACTAAAAAATATAGTTTTCCCCTTTTTTGTCCTTTATTATTAAAAACAAGAAACTATTTCAGCAAACCCACACAATTTGAAAAAAATGTATAGACTCACTCAGATATAAGAAAGTCCACCTCACATGACTGTGAAGCTGCAGTAACTCCTGTCATCTGTTACATAAAGCCCGTACACAAATCCACTTACAGGAGGAGATACAAAGATAGAGGCTGTCAGAGGAAAACAACTTTCAGGAAGAAGCCCCAGCGAGCCCTGCGCGCTGCTCAAGATGGGTGGCTATTTGACCTGTTGTCGTGGCAACACATCAAGCTGGAGGCTGAGTGGGTCTGTTGGAGTGGCAGGCGGGCCGGGGGGCTGAGGACAGGCAGGAATGTGAGACCCAGCATGACAATTTAGAGATAACAACTGGGGTGTACAAAGATGTTCTGGTAAAGGAGGCAGGAACAAGATCTTTTTTCTTCTTTTTTTTCCTCACTAAGACAAAATTCTAAAGTGGCAGCTTGTTCGTGTCAATTTAGAGACAAAACTTTCCACTCATACATGATGTTTTATTAGAATCCATGATTTTTAACACATGAATTAATCCCATATGTAAGAATGACAAAATCTTTATTACAAAAACAAAAAGGTTGATTCAAAAGGTCTGCATTCAGGTTGTGTCACTCCTGCACAACAACAATAAAACACTTTATTGACTGGTGCTTGGGCCTTTAGASCAGTGGTTCCCAAACTTTTCAGCTTTTGACCCACAAAATACCAGCAGCAGAGACYTGAGACCCCAGCTGTTGTTGGTTGATGAACATTGTTTTCACATCAAATAAACAAGAGCATAGTAACAATTTTTATTATGCTATTTTTGTCCATTTTAAGTACACTAACTTTATTTTTTTGTAACAAAAAAGGCTAAAATTATTGACAGTTGTAATTTTTTGTGTAATTAATTCAGAAAATCTTTTCAGGACCCCACCTTGATGTTTCGGGACCCMACTGTGGGTCCCGACCCCAACTTTGGGAACCACTGCTTTAGAGCACATTGTGGTCACACAATAAATAAAGCTTGGATTCAGCAGATGAAAATATGGAGGAATGTTAAAGGTTCAGCTGCATTTGGCTGAATGTCACTTTACAACCAGTGAAATGACATTTCTTCCTGGGTTGTCARTCAAATATGGCAGCCTGTGTTAGTGGAAGGCGTTCTCTCATTTGTCACTGAGGCTGTTCACTTGTTTGAAAAAAGTAAATGCTTTGCTTAAAACATTAAAATGAGACGTTAACAAAGCCATTCTCAGCAATGCAGGAACTGGAAACTGCAGAAAGACAGTTCTGTGCAGCTGTCTGTCATCCTGTTCCATTCTGCTTCAAGTTCTTTGGTCTCTGTGCCTTGATTTTTAAAAAGACATGCATGTTATCATAATTAGTGATTCTCATTTTGCTGCRAGTGCAGTCCTGCATGGCTGTCTGCCTCATCATGTTAGTCTTTTGATGGAAGAGTGACCTGATTGGGCTTAAACTCTTCGCTGATACATTTAAATAAAACTAAAATTAATAACATCTGGACTGAGTTACAATTACATAAGAAGTTCTACCATCAGAAAACAGTACAATTATTGAGTTATTTATTTTGTTTAAACAGGCAATAACACAGTATTGCAGTACAGTAACTCTATCCACCGTCAAGCTTAAAACTGAGCTGATAAGTTAATATTTTTGCATTCTTTTCTCTAAGAAGTATTTGTATGCTTTCCTTTGTCCATATTTAACAAAAAAGTAATTTTAGATGTAACAACCATGCCCTGCCTCACAGTGTAATACTTTCCAAAATTATTTATTTGAAAAAGGCATTGACTGTGATGCACAAAAGCCACAAAGTATCAAAGAACGTTTGATTTTTTTTTAGATACAAATAGAGGCAGGCAGCCATAAAAACCTCTCTGGTCTCACATTCCTTGGGTTTCTGTTTCTCCATTTATTTAGCTGCTTTAGTGCAATATAAATGCAATCAAAAGGCTTTTGAGAAAATTAATCACACATCTGCAACCCCTGGAACAAGTTCTGGGCTGCTCACAGGCTCAGAGACGCCCATGTGGAGGATGTGTTAGAAGAGCAGAGTAGAACTCCCGTTTGTGAATCACACTGAGGATGTGAAACCATTAATATCATTACATGTTGGTCCTGATTTATGGGATTACAAAGCAGCTGAGCGGCTTTGAACTCTGCTGTAATATCAAAGGTTTGGATTGTGAGACTGCACTAATCCCACCCTCTATGGGATCCTTGAGTGAAATATAGGTAGGTGGGTGCAGGCTGATGACGCAAGAACTCTTTGCTTCTTTCCAAAAAAGGAAACGAGATGAGAGGAGGCGAGGCGAGATGAGAGCACCAAAGAAATAGGAGAAATGCRTAAAATGGACTTTTATTCACGTTTCAGATTTACAGATTTTATATGAGTTTAATACAAGATATAAAAACAGCCTTGTAGGTTTTTCAATGACAAATGATTCAGCTTAATTTCATGTGCTAATTATAATTTTTACTGCTTAATATCAACCAGTAGCTGTTATTATATTTAGTTATGGACAATTTAAATAAACTAAACATCTAACATGTGGATTTACTCCTTATGGACTGAAATCCATCCTTTTTTTTTAATGCAGCTTTTTCAAGATCGGTTACTGAAAGCAACAGGTCCCAAAAGAGGAAGTTCCCTCAAACCACTGAATGACATTAAAAAAATGTCCGTTTTAGAATAGAAAAATAGTTAGTGTGGGAGTGGGAGATTTTCTAGTTTACACATGATCACCACAGAAATGTCATTTGAACATCAGATCATTGGGACGTGTGTAAAAAAGAAGCAATTTTTTTCCAAACCAAGCTTGTCAAATTTCATCATTTTAGAAGAGGACTTTAAAATAAACCTGAAAAATTTGGCAGCACTCAAAAACATTTTTTTTCTTTGGCTGTGGTTTCTTGAGCAGTCCTTTCCAAAAATAATTTTCAAACTTTTTTTTTCGAACAGTGATGTAAAAACGCTGCCTGCGTAATAAAGTACAGGAAGTGTAAGGTTTCAATAGGAATATGAATATCTGTGATGAGTTGGTAACTGTTTGATCTACTTAAAACCTGTTTTTCTTTTACAGTCTTGTTTTATTTTTTATTTTTTCAGCTCAAATGAGTGTCTGGCAAATTCTGCTCTAATAAAAGCCTCAAAAAATATATTTTATGAGAACAGCAAAGCATGTAAACAGTTATGGCTGCTATCATTTACATTACACAACTTGTTAAAAGGAACTTTCTTTTTTCTCTTTGTGGAAATAAAAAAGTATCTCATGAAGTTTAAGCATGTTGTTTGCACAAAAATGTATTCTCATGATTAGTCTATGAGAACAAATCACAAGATAACTAAAAGTGTTATGTTTCTGATTAGGTAAATGTATAAAATGGAAAAGTGCTGCAATAAAAACACAGAAAGAAAACTGGAATAAAGCAGGAACCAGTGAGAGAGAAGTTTATAAGACCGAACACTTAGCCTGACGAATATTTCTGCTTCGCCCCCTCCTACTTCAGGGTCTTTTTGATCTGTCAGAGCATTTCCAAAGATCTCACAGCCCATCGCACCCTGGAGACTTTCTCTCTTCGCTCAGGCCTGTGACAGAACGCCACGAAACGCCTTCTGACATGAAGCACTGAGGGTTTAGCTGTATTTTAGTTATGGTTATTTTTTGCGAGGTAGGTTTTGTCAGAAACAAATATGTTGTTTTCATTTTTCAAACTGGCACAAAGATTGATGGACAAAATAGCTTCTTGTATACACGCACACACACAAAAAAATCCTATCACTGTGATGGAAGACACGAACTCAAGGACAACAGCAAACAGAAAAACAGGTAAGAGGAAACAATGCCTAATCCATCGCTGCTTTCACAGACRATTTAAAAGCATAAAGAAGATGAAGAGTCACAACCCCAGGAACACTTCACCTTGGCACTTCAAATTTTTAAGAACCTGCCTGCCTCATCCTCGGCGARAGGCAAACACGTGCTGTTACTTTTAAACTTCCCATTTCCCAGAGGTTTGCTCTGCGCCGCTTGATAAGCGTTCTCTAGCTTTTGAACTTTGAAAGGATTAAGTCTGGGGGCAGACACGGAGGTGGGGTAYGGCTACGTGACACAAACACGGGCCGCGTCGCACCGTCTCCGAAACAAAGAACCAAACAAGTGCCCTCTCCGTTTGCCTGCAGGGAGCTACAACCTCACGGTTGCTCGTCTGTTTCTGCCTGTGCGTGCACGGGTTAACAAGGCCTCGTTTTACTGAAATGTTGGCATCTGAAAAAAATGGAAGCACACTTTAGCTGCAACGTTTGATAGCTAAAGGAAAACCAGCAATGAGAGATCTTGCATTTGGAAAAGGACTAAACACAAGCCTGAATTATGTTTTAGGGCTACGATACATGTTAAGAGAAAAGTAAGTACAAGACTAGAATACATCCACCTAAATTGTGGTTTAGCAACGCTTTACCATTCATTATGAATTGAATTTTACTGTAATCACAGCTCACAGAGGCTCTGACAGGAATAAAACCTACATCATAAATTATAATTACTAATGAGAAAATGCAAAACAGAAGAACTACTTAGTGAAAACTGTGGACTGTCAAACACCAACATCCAGCCATCTTCAGACTGAGTTAAAACATTATTTTCATAAAGGCACTTCTGTGTGGGTAAAATATCTCTCCAGCAGAACATGTAAAAACATAATGTTAATCTGCATCGCATAGAGTGACTGCAAGTGTAGGAGCTTGTAAGGCTCTGAATAGCTGCCATGGGTTTTTACACCTAACCATTAATTTGTCACTTGTCTCGATAAAACAACTTTCTTCTGAACTGTCTTACAGATCAGGTATAAGCCCGGCTGCCTAAAGGCAACGTTTTACCTCACACTTAAAAAGTCTGAGTAACATTTCACAG